TTTGGGTTTCCACGTAAATTCCTGTGTCTCTATTCTATTTATTTTATTCGTATTACGTTGTGATTATTACGGTTTGATAATTTTTGATCCCATTCCGCATTGAGCTAATATTATTTAAGTCAATTTGGATCCGTCGTATTTTACAACAGTCTTTTAAATCTTAGTTTCAGGAAACATAACGTTTTAGAGTTAACATAATGAATTAAAGTTGACACTAAAACAATTTCTTTCTCAACAAAATAGGAACCTATTTAAATGAACATAAAAATGAGAATTTGACTTGTGTGGATGGTCAACGATACATTGTTATTTCCCTCAAAAGATACATCTTTTACGGATACTTAGTTCCATTATCAACTTAGTTATTCACCTCTACCAGGACCATGACCAACTTAGTTCCATATTCCTCTTGATGTGATGATACATCATTCTGAATACAAACTCAATAACAAAAAAAGAAAGATTAGGGATACTTAAAAAAAAGCAGAGGTATATTTTGAATACAAAAGAAACAATAAAAACAAATGTTAATCTATGGCTTTCATGAATATACTGTTAATAAATTCTGTTTTTGTAGTGCATACTCTTGTTAATCTAGAATGAAATCGAGAACGACTTTATAGCCGTCTTCTTCAATTAACTTCCACCCATCATCACCTTACACCTGGAAATTACAATGAATGACAGAAAGTAAAACAAATATAGCTAATTACAGTGTAATCGTCGATGATATATATTTCTTATGATAAAAAAACAAACATTTAGCTAATTACTTCCAACAAAATGTGTGGAAAAATGGATGTTAATTTAAAAAAATCCAAAGATGATGATGTAAATTATAAACTTCAAATTCCAAATTGACACCTTTAACACTTGTGCAAGTTCAATTTCTAATCTTCACAAATCACACACTACTCCTTTGTTTTCTCTTGGTTTCTTCTTCCTTAAACCTATTGTTCTTGATTATATTTATCGTTGATGTTTTTACAAGCATATCATTAAAGTTGCCCTTCAAATTTACCATCAAAGAAACCACAGTCAAAACCAATTAACCTGAATCATATAAAGTACTAATTATTAAAAGCTTGGGAGTTTTCCTCGAGTGTTCGTCGATCCACATTAATGAATTGAGTTGATTGTTAGGGATCCGAACCACCACATCCAGTGGGGCCATACGATCACTTGCTTCAACTTCTCCCGCCTATTATTATTATATCCAACATAAACATATTCAAATTAATCATTTTTTTTTTACTTTTCAAAGCTGCTTTTTGCATTGCCAAATAAAAAAATAAAATAAAGATAAATAACCTGATTGGCATTAAGAGTCTGAATAACAGACTTTATTTGTTCGGTCATTTGTTCCATTTCTCTCTATATGAATTCAGCCTGCTCCTGAAATTTAGCAAATGAAAACAATAAGAAGCACCTTGTTTGTAATGTGAAAAAGACGTAAATGCCCTCGACTCTAGAAACTTACATTGCATCGCTGGTTGAAGCTGCTTCATGTATGTGACTAAGAATCTGAGACTAACAAACTCCATGAGCAATCATACTCTTATAACTCTCATCCAATAACCTTATGAGTCTAAAGGGATGAATAAAAGAAAAAAAAAAGTTCTAGTCATCATCGTAAACAATTTACTTTGGTTTTAAGATAAAATCAATAAAAAATCTAAGTCTATCCACAAAAATTAAGTGATTATTAAAAATTTGCAAACACTTCTTTTATACAACATTCCAATACAAACAATTTTTTGTTCCAAGATTCATAAATATAAAATGTTCTTTACTTTCTATTTTTCAACTACAAAATCTTTCTCTACTCCTTTGATGTTGGAAATTATAAAAAATATGCTGTTTTTACAAAGTAGAATGCTATAAATAACAGTTTAAGGAAAGTGGAATACTATAAAAGATGTTTTTTTTTTAAATCCACTCAATGTTCGGAGTCCTCGAAAAGATACCATTTTACAAAGTAGAATGCTATAAATGACAGTTTCAAGAAAGTAGAATACTATAAAATAAAATGTTTTTTTTTTTTTTTAATTTTCACGCCTATGTTCGAAATTCTAAAAAATTTTACAAAAAAGAAGGCTATAAATGAAAGTTTCCAGTATGTTTGAATCGATATCAGGGAAATTAGATCTTAGTTTACCATATTTCTCATGTTACATGCCGATTGATCTCTATCTTTAGCTGAAAAATGAATATGAACTTTATAAAAAACAACTCAGCAAGATAAATCCAAATATCCTAAAGCAATTTCTTAAACATCTATCATGAAATAGAAATATATATATATTATAACCTTAAACATTTAATTCATTTAAATATGAACAATATGTAAGATGGTGGTGGTGAATATTTAAAACTAAACATCTCACCTCATATCAAAAGATATATTGCAGAGTAATGTAATCTCCTAATAAAATAAAGCAATACACCCCTGTAAAAGGGTTAGTCCATAAAATGGAAATTTCATCCTCTAGCAGCATGTCTTTCAAATTCCACATTATCAGTCTACGCTAAAAGTAAATCAAATCAAAGATATATAAAAAATCAAATATTTAAATTTTACCACTACAAACACATAAAGTTAACATAGTATATTATCATGTGGCATAAAAGTATATGAGACTTTGGTAGAAAGAAAAAGCTTTTTCAAGCCGCTAAAGAACACGTTCTTCATTTTTTGAAAACTTTGGGAAAAATGACCTCATTTATGCAACAAAATGGCAAAAACACACATATCATCCCTGGAACCAAGAATAAAAGCACAAAGAAAAAATCTATGCATTTTCTTGTTAAACATCTTTTACTCGAAATTTTTAAAATAATAATAATAATAATAATAATAATAATAATAATAACCAAAGCAAGATACTCAGATGAATGGCATCAAATCTGAGAACCAACACTTACAAAAACACCCAGATTGTTCATTCAAGCTATGAAATACGTATTCAGATAGATTGAAGATGAAAGTTCAATTTGTATTCAATAAACCTAATCAAGTTGGAATCGAAGATCGAACATGCAAAGTCAAAAATCGAAGTTGAAATCAGAAATCGAACCCTGTGGCCGGAGGTAGAACGTCGTCGTCGGTGTGTCTGGCCGGATCAAGATGTGGGAGTAACAGCTTAACCTAGATGAGTAAAGTTGCGCAAAGAAGATCGATGTTTACCCGAACGGAAATTGTGGCGCTGGAGGGCATATGGGTGTCCTCTTCACCATTGATGAGGGAGTAATCGCAATTCAACATAAGCCCTAGTATACCTGATTCAGTGGGTGGAGGTTTCATCATTAAGGTCATTGGAAGCAGGAGAAAAAGAGAGAAAGAAAACGATTGATATTGAAGATTAGGGAAAAACGTAACCGAATTAATTTGGAACAGTTTGAATTTTGATTTTGATTTTCCTGAGAAGAAGAAACATCGGAGAAGTATCAGAGGTAAAATGGAGTTTATCGTAATCGTAATCGTAACGTAAGGATAAGGGCAGTGTTGGTATTTCACTTTACAGAGTCGAGTGGGAAAAATTGATTTGAAGGGGCTTAGAGATTGCCGAGTGGCAAGAAATGTTTTATTTATTAGGATAGGAGATATTAGATATTTTTCTCAAATCAGAATCAACAACCAAATCCGAAAAATCCTGATATCCTAACTTTCTCATAATTTTGGATCGAGTATTCAAAGAGAGGATATTTCTAAGACCTAGCTAGGTTGTCATTCATGTGATTATTATATCTCACCGTATCATCAAGCTATAGTGTTTTTGAAAAAGAAAATCATTATTAAAACATGAAAGCAGATCCTAAATATATGTAACGTTTGATTCGAACATGAAGCCAAATCCCAAATGTGTATAACGTTTGATTCAAGCATGAAACCAGATCCAAAATCTATGTAACGTTTGTACAAGTTGAAATTCATATATTGAAAATATTATCGAATCTCCACCATCTTAAAACCAAAATACCCTTCAGCAACTCCTCCGTTAACATTTGGATTGCCCTCCCTCCACCACCGTGTGTGCCACCATGACCCTCCTACTCCTCCCCACTATCTTCCCTTTATTCTTCTTCCTAGCTTACATTAGTTACATATTCTACCAAAAACACCGATTCAAGCTCCCACCGGGCCCACGCCCATGGCCAATCGTCGGAAACCTCTACGACGTCAAACCAGTCAGGTTCCGCTGCTACGCAGAGTGGGCACAGCAATATGGTCCGATCATCTCCGTTTGGTTTGGATCAACTCTAAACGTCGTCATTTCCAACAGTGAGTTAGCAAAAGAAGTACTTAAGGAAAAGGACCAACAAATGGCGGATCGGCACCGGAGCAGATCGGCGGCGAAGTTTAGCAGAGAAGGGCAGGATTTGATTTGGGCGGATTATGGACCACACTATGTGAAGGTTCGGAAAGTATGTACACTTGAATTGTTTTCACGGAAGAGGCTTGAAGCTCTAAGACCAATTAGGGAAGATGAAGTTACGGCTATGGTGGAATCTATTTTCAAGGACTGTACTCATCCTGGTAAGTCTATTCTTTTTTAAAATCATTTTTCGTGGTTTTATGTAAATTTTCGCAAATTGGTAAAAATCTTACATAGTCTTACATAGACTGATAAAAAGTAGGTTTATTACATCTAAATAGTTAACTAGGGAAGTGATGGCTCAATGGGTTTTAATTGGATACCCATGAAGTTAGAGGGAGCAAAAGTGAACCCTTGAAAATATAGGAGCAAAAGTTTTTAATATATGAAGATGGGTTACAAGTGTCAATAACAGAAATAGTTGTGGCCAAACTCATAATCAAGAAAACTTAAATGTTTTTAAGTGATGCCATTTTTAATATATATATATATATATATATATACCAGTGGGCAATAAACCTAGTCGTTTTTTTTTTTGTTTACACTATATATTTTACTACAACATATTTAAGAAAGAAATATAATGATAAAAGAGCATGCCATGGACAAATTCATAAAGAAAAAATTACATATATTAGCAACATACTTTTATTATTTTGAAATCTTGGGTGTTGTTTTTGTTATTTAATCTTTATGAAATCTAATATAGTGGCACCATTCTTTCAAGATGTGTAGTCTCAATTCTGTCTGGTCTTTAACCAAATTTGTAATTGCGGCTTCAGCTTCAAAAGGTGGCATCTCCCTTGTAATTGCATATCCCCCATCATAACCATCAACAGAATCTTCAAGGATGTTATTCCTATAAATTGGTACATTTTTCCAAGCCTCTTGTTTGTACAACTCTTGTGGATTCCACATGCTATCTACTCAGATTGAACATCATCACCTCAAACTTTCTGTTACTGCCGCATTCCATTTCCAATCTCATATATCAAAACCATATAACCATGGAACACATATTCATATACAAATTGATTGTTGAGAAAAAAAAGCTAAAAATAGTAGAGCTACCCTACCCATTGATTTTAATTCACAAGGTTGTTTTGTTTTTTACTTCTTTCCATTGCATGTTTTCTGCTTCTTAAAAATCAACAATCTACAACAATTTGTCCCACATATTACAATTAAACTAATATCCTTTAATGAAGGAAAATATAATTTCATAATTCATACATTAGAATAAATAACTTCTGAAGTCAAATTAATGGAAACTTTTTTTTTAAAGTAAGTAGAAGTAAATGTTGTCGGAAAACCAAGGCTGTTTTCACATTTGTTCTCTTCATTTTACTAAAATCTAATAGTGTTAAGGATGGTGAAATGGGTGGTTACGTAGGAAATGTATGTGGTATGATTTTGACCATATCATGCGACAAATCAAGTAATGTTAGATTATTACTTTTACCAAATCCATGGCCAGAATTTCAGATCCGGTACTATTGACCCGAACATATTATATATTAAAGGATATGGGAAGTTTCACGGGAAACTTTCCATGTTTATAATTTTAACATTATATTTTTATTTTTTCTTAATTTTGTCACTAAAATTTCAACAAACTTTTCCTTTTTATAATTTTGCTTTTTATAATTTTGCCACTTATTTTTAGTTCTTCATATTTTTGCCACTAAACTTTAAAACCTTTTTTCTTTATTCTTTTATAATTTTACCACTTTATTTTTACTTTTTTATAATTTTGCCACTAAAATTTCAACAAACTTTTCCTCTTTATAGTTTTGGTACTTTATTTTTACTAATCTTGCCACTAAAGTTTCAACAAACTTTTCATCTTTATAATTTTGACACTTTATTTTTACTGCTTTATATTTTTGTCACTAAACTTTCACCCGTGCGTTGCACGGGCTTTTTCCTAGTTATAATCAAATAGAATAAGTAATTCCATTGTCATTTTTATTTCACGTGTAGTGAAAAATATCAAAAACTACCTTCATTCCGCCCATGGCAGAACAATCAAAACACAACATCGGGTTTTACTAATCTCATCCATCGGTGATTCGGTTCTGTCCCACGAAGCCTACAACCGTATAAAAAACCCAAATTTTATTGTATTGCAAACAATTACATCCGGTACAGATTGTAAAAAACATGAAAACCTTGATTATCCCTAAAACCCGACATCATCATATACAAATAGTGAAAAAAAAATAGAACATAGTGGTTCTTGCTCACCTGGATATCAATAAGATAGCATACCAATCGCACAACACTGAAACCTGCAAAAAAAAATCCAACTTCAACATAAACAAATTGAATACAAAACAATATTAGTGTTTAAAAATATGTGTGTAATAGTAACACAATCACTTAATGACTTTTATAGACATTATGTATACTAAACTATAGTGAATTTAAACAACTTTATGATACCTAATTACCTATTATGCAACTGAAAAGGAAAGAGGAAGTTATTTTGAAATACCTACCATCCCTAGAAGTTCCTTTGGCAGTTTGGATATGTTATCCAATATACCAAGGATGTTGGCTACAGATGCAAATAAAGGCTCAGTAACCATTTCCATGGCATTTTTGTTCTGGTCTAGGGCTTGGAGTGCTCGCCTCCCCTCTTCTCTCTTCCCGTCTCAACCTCGTCGGATTACTCCGTCTTGTACTCTTTCCGGTTACCGATCTCCATCTCGGTCTTCTCTCTGCCCAATGGAGTATATGCCCTCCATCTCTGGATGTGCTTCAGCCAAATACCCTCTTTGCCACTTTCCTGCTTTGAATCCGGTGGGTTTGAGATTATAAAACGAATAATAAAGAAGAGAAATAGAAATCAGATCTGTAGAAGAGAAAATAACAGGCGACGATATCATCGAGAGAGAACGACGTTGACTGAGAATCGAGGACGGCTCCATACTCCAGTTGACAGAAAATCGAGGAATCGCAACCCGTCAAGTTTGAGTCTTTAATACCGAATGATCTATGTGGATTAGTAGTATTTTAGAAAATAACGTTTGCATATGCCTGAATCGAAAATAAAGAAGAAATTAGGGCTCACTGCCGACTGTAAGGGGTAGGGCCCCTTCTTTGTAGAGGTGGAAGGTTCAGGTTCAACTCTGGGGAGATGATTTAAGAGCATTGAACTCGTCAAAGAGGAAAACAGAAGCGACAGAAAGAGAAGGGGTATGGAGGAGACTCGACTTGGGAGAGGAGAAAGTAAGCGGTGGTGGCAGGATCAAAAGAAGTGGCAGGAACGGCGATGAAGGTATCTAGAAGAAAAAAGAAGTGGTGGGATCTCGATGCAATGGTGGTGGACCGAATGTGACGATAGTAGATTGTAACCCACCGATCAAAAAGAAAAAAAAAATTAAAAATTTTTTTTTGGTCCAATTCAGATCAACTATTGACAAAGGAACTGATAATTAATATATATATATATATATATATATATATATATATATATATATATATATGGGATCTGGATGCAATGGTGGTGGACCGAATGTGACGATAGTAGATTGTAACCCACCGATCAAAAAGAAAAAAAAAATTAAAAAAAAAATTTTGGTCCAATTCAGATCAACTATTGACAAAGGAACTGATAATTAATATATATATATATATATATATATATATA